GAAACAAGAGTTTCAGAGAAGCAACATGAAGACAGAGAAATAGAAGTATATTGCTCTAGGATTCATGTAAGTATGTTGGACATAAAAGTCGGTCTGGAACAAGTCTATATAGAACCAAGGTGAATTCCAAACAGTCAATGAAATTAGAGTAACTGACTTGTCAGGAACTCAGAGACTGTCAGAGTTCAGGAACCTAATAGGAACTTAAGTATGAACGTCGTTAAAAGTCGGTTTTAATGATATATATTTTACCTTATACGTGCATATCTTTTAGGGATTTGGTTTTACTGAATAAAGATATTTATCTTCTAATAAATCCCTTTTGGAAAAAGATAAGATTGTTTAAAAAGTATTTTAAACAAAAAGATAAGTTTTGAATAAAATCTGATTTTATGCTAAGTTTATCTTATTATTATTGACAGTTTTTATTCTTAACAAAAAGGTATATTTTTCGGAAAACTGATTTTTAGAAAATATCTTTTAAACTTATCTTTTCAGAAAATCTATCTTTTTCAAGATGAAATGAATAATTCGAGTGTACTATAAATATGCTCATATGCATTCATTCAAAGTTCAGGCTGACGAAGTGTAGTGGTCGTGCTTAATGGTTTTATCCTTCACCACGAAGCTAAGTCAGTCCTCCTGGTCAAAGTTCCTATCAGGTTTTTGGTTACAATACGTCTAGTGAGTTCCAGACAGATCTTGAGTGTTCAACATATTAGTTTTATACATTATATCTTTTATATGTATTGAGAGTTGTTTAAGGGTTTGAGTGAACTCTTGTAATGGGGAATTAATAAGGGTTTGAGTGAACTCTTGTATTAGGGTGAGAACTTGAGTGAGTTCTTTGTATGTAGAGAAGGCTTTGAGTGAAGCTTGAGAGAAAGAGAAAGAGTAAGGTTTTGAGTGAAGTCTTGAGTGAGAAGAGAGGTCTTTGAGGGAAGATTTCAAGCTGCAACTATTAGAGGGAATAGTTGTTGGGGATATGAGTTCGTTGAGGAACTCGGTAGAGGCTCAAGTTCCTCATAGGTTGTAACAGAGTCGTTGGCCTATTTTAGTGGAATGTTTTGAGTCAAAATCCCTTTGGGTCGAGGTTTTTCACTTCCTATTTGGCCTAGGAAGTTTTCCTCGTAAAATCTCTCTTGCACTATTTCTCTATTGCGTTAAGTTTCTTTTAATTCCGCAAAAAGTGACTAGCAATCTCCATACTACAATTCACCCCCTCTTTGTAGTATATCATCCGAAATAACAAAGAGGATACAACTATGAAAGATTAAATTAAAGGATCGATGTGACATGTAGCATGAGTGATTTCTATATTTACGAATTATATGTAAATAAAAATAATCGAATTTCACTTGGTTACCTAAAATAGATAGATAAATATGAAGTATCTAATACTAGAATGGATTTGGTCATCCTTATTAGTTATTCTCTCCATTAGTCTTAGTTTTAGTTTTTTTTTTTTGTTTTTTTTTTTTTTTTGGGAACCATTAGTCTTAGTTTGTTTTCCCTAAAATAGTAAAATCAACTAATATTATTCTGACAATTACATTTGTAACGTTTTTGTGAGCTAAATCTCATCATAGTTACATACTACCACGTGTTTGATCAAATTAGGGAAATTTTAGTTACATTTGTGTGAACTAAATCACAACCTAGTCTTAGTCATGCATTATCGTAAAACTTTCCGCAAATAAACATATGGTTGAAAACCACTCAAACAACTTTTTCATGGCTTTAAATATCCCATTATAATTCACTTCTTACCAAAAACATAAATCAAAAAGTTTCTAATTAGCTTATTATCGCAATTATATATATATTATATATAAAAAAAAAAAAATTAGAAAACAAAAAAGGAAGAGTTTCACCATTCTTTAAATCGATCTTCGTATAACAATTATTATTCAGTTTGAATAATTTTCGATGGAGTTATACATCCTACAGATTGTCACTATTCTTTATGTAAATTACAATATCTTTATTCAGATTAAAAAAAAAAAACTTTATATATCTACTTTTCACTTGACTAATGCGTTTTTTTTTTTTTTTTTTTATTTTTTTTTCTTCTAACGTTGTTTTGATTTTTGATTTTTGCAGGTAGCAATAACAGCCACCGAAGCAACCTTTATATTTCCAGGAGGACAGTTTGGAAAGAAAGGTATATAATATATAAGATTTACTTGGTAGTTTACTTCAAACTAGCTAATTTAGTAATTTTACTCTCCACATTTTCGATGATAATCTTTCACATTTTGCCAACATTTAATAGAGAAAAAAAAAAAAAAAGGATTTAAGCTCTTTGAATATAAAGACACCCCCGTAAAATAATCAATGATAATATTTAATTTATTAATACGTGAATATACTTTACATTTAAGATATTATATCTAACTCTTCATATAAATCTTTATATGCTTTGTCAAACTTCAAGGTGATGCACATTTCGGTGGTAACTTGAACTTTAAGAAGGAAGTTAATAAAAAGTTCGCGGTAATGGAGGGTTCAACTTTGGTGGACGCAAGGAAGCTTATGGAGCAGGTAAAATAAAAGGACAAACAGAAGCAACAAGTAAAGGCGTAGCACAATTGGGTGCTAATTTGAACTTAGATAAACAAGTGAGAGGCTCAGGAGGATTAAACTTTGGTGGATCTACCTCGACAACCGGTGAAAATCAAGGAGCAATTAAAGGTCAAACACAAATGGGAACCAACTTTAACTTTGATAAAAAAAGTAAAGGTTCTGTAGGCTTCAATTTTGGAGGAAATAAGGATCTGTCAGGTGAAGGAAAAGCTCAAGGGGTAGGGAAAGGCCAAACACAATTGGGTAACAACTATAACTTTAAAAAGGATGCTCATGCATCTGAAGGGTTCGATTTTGGAGGGAGCAAAGAAAAAAATTATCCTGATAGCCAGGCGACGGGGGCACCTCAAGGAGTAGAAAAAAACCAAGCACATTTTGGTGGTAACTTGAATTTTAATAAAGAAGCCCACGGTTCAGGAGGGTTCAATTTCGGTGGACACAAGGAAGTTTCTGGAGCAGATAAAACAAAGGGACAAACAGAAGCAACAAGTAAAGGCGAAGCACAATCGGGTGCTAATTTGAGGTTAGATAAACAAGTGAGAGGCTCGGGAGGATTAAACTTTGGTGGATCTACCTCGAAAACCGGTGAAAATCAAGGAGCAATTAAAGGTCAAACACAAATGGGAACCAACTTTAACTTTGATAAAAAAAGTAAAGGTTCTGTAGGCTTCAATTTTGGAGGAAATAAGGATCTGTCAGGTGAAGGAAAAGCTCAAGGGGTAGGGAAAGGCCAAACACAATTGGGTAGCAACTATAACTTTAAAAAGGATGCTCACGCATCTGGAGGGTTCGATTTTGGAGGGAGCAAAGAAAAAAATTATCCTGATAACCAGGCGACGAGGGCACCTCAAGGAGAAGAAAAAAGCCAAGCACATTTTGGTGGTAACTTGAATTTTAATAAAGAAGCTCACGGTTCAGGAGGGTTCAATTTCGGTGGACATAAGGAAGTTTCTGGAGCAGATAAAACAAAGGGACAAACAGAAGCAACAAGTAAAGGCAAAGCACAATCGGGTGCTAATTTGAGCTTAGATAAACAAGTGAGAGGCTCAGGAGGATTAAACTTTGGTGGATCTACCTCGAAAACCGGTGAAAATCAAGGAGCAATTAAAGGTCAAACACAAATGGGAACCAACTTTAACTTTGATAAAAAAAGTAAAGGTTCTGTAGGCTTCAATTTTGGAGGAAATAAGGATCTGTCAGGTGAAGGAAAAGCTCAAGGGGTAGGGAAAGGCCAAAACAATTGGGTAGCAACTATAACTTTAAAAAGGATGCTCACGCATCTGGAGGGTTCGAGTTTGGAGGGAGCAAAGAAAAAAATTATCCTGATAACCAGGCGACGAGGGCACCTCAAGGAGAAGAAAAAAGCCAAGCACATTTTGGTAGTAACTTGAATTTTAATAAAGAAGCTCACGGTTCAGGAGGGTTCAATTTCGGTGGACATAAGGAAGTTTCTGGAGCAGATAAAACAAAGGGACAAACAGAAGCAACAAGTAAAGGCAAAGCACAATCGGGTGCTAATTTGAGCTTAGATAAACAAGTGAGAGGCTCAGGAAGATTAAACTTTGGTGGATCTACCTCGACAACCGGTGAAAATCAAGGAGCAATTAAAGATCAAACACAAATGGGAACCAACTTTAACTTTGATAAAAAAAAGTAAAGGTTCTGTAGGCTTCAATTTTGGAGGAAATAAGGATCTGTCAGGTGAAGGAAAAGCTCAAGGGGTAGGGAAAGGCCAAACACAATTGGGTAGCAACTATAACTTTAAAAAGGATGCTCACGCATCTGGAGGGTTCGATTTTGGAGGGAGCAAAGAAAAAAATTATCCTGATAACCAGGCGACGGGGGCACCTCAAGGAGTAGAAAAAAGCCAAGCACATTTTGGTGGTAACTTGAAATTTAATAAAGAAGCTCACGGTTCAGGAGGGTTCAACTTCGGTGGACACAAGGAAGTTTCTGGAGCAGATAAAACAAAGGGACAAACAGAAGCAACAAGTAAAGGCGAAGCACAATCGGGTGCTAATTTGAACTTAGATAAACAAGTAAGAGGCTCAGGAGGATTAAACTTTGGTAGATCTACCTCGACAACCGGTGAAAATCAAGGAGCAATTAAAGGTCAAACACAAATGGGAACCAACTTTAACTTTGGTAAAAAAAGTAAAGGTTCTGTAGGATTCAATTTTGGAGGAAATAAGGATCTTTCAGGTGAAGGAAAAGCTCAAGGGGTAGGGAAAGGCCAAACACAATTGGGTAGCAACTATAACTTTAAAAAGGATGCTCACGCATCTGGAGGGTTCGATTTTGGAGGGAGCAAAGAAAAAAATTATCCTGATAACCAGGCGACGGGGGCACCTCAAGGAGTAGAAATAAGCCAAGCACATTTTGGTGGTAACTTGAAATTTAATAAAGAAGCTCACGGTTCAGGAGGGTTCAATTTCGGTGGACACAAGGAAGTTTCTGGAGCAGATAAAACAAAGGGACAAACAGAAGCAACAAGTAAAGGCGAAGCACAATCGGGTGCTAATTTGAACTTAGATAAACAAGTAAGAGGCTCAGGAGGATTAAACTTTGGTGGATCTACCTCGACAACCGGTGAAAATCAAGGAGCAATTAAAGGTCAAACACAAATGGGAACCAACTTTAACTTTGATAAAAAAAGTAAAGGTTCTATAGGCTTCAATTTTGGAGGAAATAAGGATCTGTCAGGTGAAGGAAAAGCTCAAGGGGTAGGGAAAGGCCAAACACAATTGGGTAACAACTATAACTTTAAAAAGGATGCTCACGCATCTGGAGGGTTCGGTTTTGGAGGGAGCAAAGAAAAAAATTATCCTGATAGCCAGGCGACGTGGGCACCTCAAGGAGTAGAAAAAAGCCAAGCACATTTTGGTGGTAACTTGAATTTTAATAAAGAAGCTCACGGTTCAGGAGGGTTCAATTTCGGTGGACATAAGGAAGTTTTTGGAGCAGATAAAAAAAGGGACAAACAGAAGCAACAAGTAAAGGCGAAGCACAATCGGGTGCTAATTTGAGGTTAGATAAACAAGTGAGAGGCTCGGGAGGATTAAAATTTGGTGGATCTACCTCGAAAACCGGTGAAAATCAAGGAGCAATTAAAGGTCAAACACAAATGGGAACCAACTTTAACTTTGATAAAAAAAGTAAAGGTTCTGTAGGCTTCAATTTTGGAGGAAATAAGGATCTTTCAGGTGAAGGAAAAGCTCAAGGGGTAGGGAAAGGCCAAACACAATTGGGTAACAACTATAACTTTAAAAGGATGCTCACGCATCTGGAGGGTTCGATTTGGAGGGAGCAAAGAACAAAATTATCCTGATAGCCAGGCAACGGGGGCACCTCAAGGAGTAGATAAAAGCCAAGCACATTTTGGTGGTAACTTGAAATTTAATAAAGAAGCTCACGGTTCAGGAGGGTTCAATTTCGGTGGACACAAGGAAGTTTCTGGAGCAGATAAAACAAAAGGACAAATTTAAGCCAAGCGGCAGGGGCAGCCTAAGGGACTTGCCATGGCCAAACTTGCTATAACGGACAATTAACCCGATCAAAGTTGAGAAATAAGTTGGGATTTTTGCATCGATTTTTTTAGTCTAAATGTTGAGGATTCAAGAAGTATAAGCCAAGGGTTGAGCTAAGCATTAGATTAACTCCAAAAGGGGCATGAAAGTCATAAAGTTATAACTCTTGATAATGTCATTTTTATGAGATCGCGAGCTAGTTTAATTATTCAATGAGGGTAGCTAGGTAAATTGAATGTGACCACTTTTATATAAGAGATCTCAAGAAATGAAATTATTAGTGTTTTTTTTTTCTTACACTATCTTTTAAATTGAATGTTTATTAAATTTCAATAGCGTAAGTTAAACGATGTCATTGTTCGTTGTACCGGATAATACATGCATTTTTAATTAAATAAATGAACTTATCATGATGTGTACTCCATACATACTTTTCACCCTATTTAACTTACTCTAACATTCTTTCCTCTTAACAAACCACCATTGGCCAATTGCAAGGCCATCACCGGCGATAAAGTCATGTTTATTTGTATTGGTCGTAAATGTTTGGGATTTTTTTTTTCAATGAACGCCTAACAACAACAACAACAATAATATATTACGACAATAACAATATTAACAATAACAATAAGATTAATAATAATAATAATAATAATAACATTTATAATAATAATAATAAAAAAATAACATTATAATTATTATTATTATTATTATTATTACAACAAAATAACGATCACAACAATAATAATAACAATAGCAATAATAATAATAATAATAATAATAATAATAAAATAATAATAATAATAATAGCATATAAATAATAATAATAATAATAATAATAATAAGGCCAAATTAGAAAATAACACCCAATAAAACCCACGATTTTAATAATAACACCAATGAAAAAAAAAAAGTTTTATTATAACACCACCAAAAAGCCCAAAATTTTGGTTTCACCACCCACTAACAGATTTTTGGACGGAAATTGTTAGTGGGACCCACCAGGGACACGTGTCAGTTGTTTATTGGTTTAAAAAAAAGAAAAATTTAAAAAAAACACAGCCCACCACCAGCACGACCTGCCCCATCCGCCGCTGCCGCCGGCATCCCCTGCCCTCACATAATTCGGCGAAACCAGACCACGCCAAACGCCAGCCTAGCCACCCCCACCTCTATCGAAACCCTAACCCCACCACACCACCTCAGCCGAAACTTAAACCTAGCGAGCAGTCCCTACCACCGCCCCGTTTTCAGCCCCTCTCCCTTTCTCCCGTCTAGTTTTCGCCCCCTCCCTCCATTAGCTGAACCGAAATCCTAACCCCCACGCACCTGAACCGAAATCACTTTCTGATTCGGAGATTCAGAGGAGATAGAAAAGCACTACAAGAAAACAGCTTGATTCCGACGGACAAGAATTTCCGTCGGAAAAGCCAGAAATTCCGACGGAATTTTATTCCATAGGAAATCCGTCGGAATATTCCGACGGAATATAAACCCGTCGGAATATATGGGCTTTCCGACTGAATATTCCGTCGGAACATTCAATTTTCCGACGGAAAATATATCCGTCGGAAGTTTTTGACAGATTATTCCGTCAGAACGTTTTATTTCCGGCGGAAATAAAATCCGTCGGAAATTTACGACGGAATATTCCGTCGGAAATTTACGACGGAATATTCCGTCGGAAATTTCCGACGGATTTTATTTATTTTCGACGGAATTATGACTATTAAAAAAAAAACTGAATATAAAAAAAAATTCCGGAACCCTAACCCACCCTTTCATTTCTCTTTTCTCTCTCCTCTCCTCTCTCTCCGCCTCTCTTGTCTTTCTCTCTCCTCTCCTCTTTCCTCTTCTCTTCTTCTCTAAACTCATCCCCCCTCCTTCCTTCCATCTCCTCCACCCTCTCTTTCTCTCTCTCTTCTCCTTCTCGTTCTTTTTCCTTTCTTTGTCAGCCACCACGACACCCACGACACCGTCAACCACCACGACACCCACGACACCCACGACGACGCAACCACCACCACAACCCACAACACAACCACCACGACTACCACGATGTAAACAACATTAATTGTAGATCTATTTTTTTATTTAACAATTTTGTATATAATTATTTTTTGATTTACTTGTAATGTAATTTTATTAATTTCAGAAGATAACTGTTAATATATTTATTTTGTTTGATTTCAATTTTTTTTTTTTTTTTTGTCGGATCTATAAATTTATTGTGTTGGTGGTGGTTTTCTATTTTGGGGGTTCGGTGTGGTGGGGTTGTGGTGTTGTCGGTGGTGTTGGGGTGTGCTGTTTTTGGGGTGGTTTCGGTTTGTGGTGGTGTGGGTGGTGTTGTGGTTATAGGGGGTATGTGTGGTGGTGGGTGGTTATAGGGGTATGTGTGGTGGTGGGTGGTTTGTGTTTCGGGTTTGTTGTGGGTTTTTTTGGTGGGCTGGTGGTGTGGGGGTGGTGGGTTTTTTAGGTGGGCAGGGGGTGGGCTCGTGGTGTGGGGGTGGTTGATTTTTTTGGTGGGCAAGGGATGGTGGTGTGGGGTTGGTCTACGGTTTGTTTTAGGGAGGTGGGGTGGGTGTGGGTGGGGTTGGTCTGGGTGGGTGGGGGTTGTTGGTGGGGGTGGGGGTGGGGGTGGTGTGGGTGGGGGTGTTGGTGGGTGTTAGGGTGGTCTGGGTGGGGGATGTTCTGGGCAGGTAGGGTGGGTGTGGGTGGGTGGATGGGTGTGGTGGTCTGGGGTGGGTGGGGGTGGGGGTTTTTCTTGGTAGGTGGGGCGTTTTTTTATTTTTTTTATTGAATTTTCCGACGGAAATTTCCGTCGAAATATACCGTTTTCGACAGAAATTTCTGTCGGAATATTCCCCTTGCGACGGAATATTCCGTCGGAATCCACTTCATCTCCGACGGAATTTTCCGTCGGAACTTTGCGACAAAATTTCGGTTAAAGTCAAAACCAGCTTCAACAGAATGTATTCCGTCGAAAATTCCTTCGGAAAAGGGGCTTCCGACGGAATTTCCTTCGGAAGACGTTGAATTACCTACAAAGGCTGTTCCGAGAGACAGTTTCGGACGGAATTCTGTCGGAAGGCCGTTTTCCGACGAAATTTCCCCTTTTTTTGACGGAAAAAATCCGTCGGAATTCAGCTGTTTTCTTGTACTGAAGGAGGATCGTGGGTAGGAGGAGGAGCGGTGGTCTGCGTCGGGTCTTGGGGTTTGGGTTGTGGGTCTGAAGGAGGCGAAGGGGCTAAGTGGTTTTCGCGGAGGGTTGTGGTGGGTGGGGGTGATTTTTCAGGGAGAAGGAAGGGGGAAGGGGATTTACGGGGGGGGGGGTGATGTTGGTGGGGGTGACGGCCGGTGGTTTTGCCAGTGAAAGGAAGGGAATCCGATGGCAGTGGGGGTCTCCGCCGATGGTGGGGCTGGTGGCTGGGTTAGAGTTTAGGGGTTTTTCTTTTTTTTTAAATTAATTTTTATTTTTATTTTAACAACAACAACAACACATATATTTCATATTATAGGTTATTGCATCTACAAAATCCACCTTTTCTTAATCTCCTCGACAATCGACATTGTGAAAATTGCAGCAGCAAAAATCCTCCTCTATTGACCCCATATCGGGTTTGGGATAGACGATGAATTGCTAAAACTTATCTATCGTCGTGTGTTACATTACAGGTTGGGCGTTCCTATATTCTTTATTTCAACACCAATGTTTTGCTTGCTCCAGGATTTTCAAGGGGGTTATATTTGGTGATCATGTGGTGTCGTGTGCTGACATTGTGGGTATTAAACATCGGCAAAATGTTGTTTGGGATACCTTTGTTGATGTTTGTTATCGGTCTTAGGTTTTGGTAAGGAAAGAGGTTGATATTGGACTGTCTGGATCGGAGGGAACGACAGAGCTCTCCGACTTGTAGATGTGTTACACTATTCTTGGGATCGGGGTTGTGATGTGTGTGTTGACTTGACAAGATCTTCTCCTTTGACCACAAACTGGGTTGTCTAACTTTATTCCAGGCCAGGTTGTGACTAATGCGGCTAATCGAAAGCGAGTCAAGTTACGAAGAAAGTTTTCGGGCAATTGGTTTATGGTTTTCTTCCTTTCTATTTTTCTTCTCTTAGGGAACTAAATAAGGATGTTGTTGCGCTGTTGAAGTAGTTTTAGAAGTTCTTTAAGGCCCAAGACATTTGGGCTAGTGTTGCTGCTCATATCTTCACCAAGATTGACTTTGCTGTAGCTAAAGAAGTGGGGCCCAGATTTTATCTAGACTTCCCACTAATTTTTTATAATTTTTATTAACTTTGTTTTTAAATTTGCATTTGAAATAACAACAACTACTACAACAATAACATTAATAATAATTCAAATTAGCACACACACATATATAAAACACACACATAACAACAATAAAAACAATCACATACACACACCTTGAATAGAATAATTAAAAGGTCCAATATATAAGGAAACACACACACACACACAT